AAGGGAGACTCGCGCAGGGTCGTGTCCCCGCCCACCCCACCCTCCCCTTGGGGTAGAAAAGGTGGGGAGCCTCCAGCCGGGCTTCCCACCCGGGATAGTTTGCTACAGGGGCGGGGTCTCCCACCTACTACCCCGCAGCCCCTCGCTTTGCTCGCGTTTGTGTCTTCGAATCACTTGGGCTGCTGTCGACCGCCGCGCGAGGTTCTACTGCTGTAATGACTCAACCCCTAAAATGCAGCTACTGACGCTGGAAATGCCCGGATTGGGAGTATGTAAAGGTTATCCTAGCCCTGAAAGCCAACAACTAGAACTAGTAAGCTTGAAAAGTGGGAAGAAGTCGGGGTAGTTAGCGCCTCGGGGATTTGGGAGGCGTGGCCAGTGCTGCGAGTACTGGAGCTCTTGAGTAGCCTGGTACACCCTGAATTTCACATCTTCCTTCTGGTGCCCTCCATGCTTGTTCTTGTCTCTTTTTGCTGCTTGATCTCAGTTGCTCTTTGCAGATAACGTTTATTTATAACTGCAGTATTCCAACCAGTTCCATATTAGGAGTGTATTAGGAGAGAGAAGCCGTGTACACTGGTAAATTCTTGTGCACTGGAATAAGGCAGTGAATTGGACAAGTTACTTAGAAATAACACCTCAGGTTAGCTTTGGAAATTAGATGAGAGAATGCATACAAGAATGCTTGGGGCTGTTCCTCAAGCATAGTAAAATGGAAATTAATAAAAATAATAATGGAACATTATTATTATTGAACCAGGAAAGGGAAAGTAAGTCATTTATATTAGAAAGAACCAAATTGCCCTCTTTAGCCTGGAGGTTTGTAAACCTAACTGAGCATTAAAATAACCTGGACAACTTTTACAAAATACCAATCAAGGCCTGTGCTTCCCTCCAGTGATCCTGATTAAACTTCTCGAGTAGAAACCTGGTTGGTCTAAAAGTGAACATGAGTAACTTGGGACTTCATATTCCCCTGGGAAGCCACGCCCAGAGTACAGGCTAGGGGTCTTTTATATGCCCTGCTCTGTTGAGCTTGGAGAGGCAGTGGAAAAGTACCAGTGAGTCATGCTGTCCTTTTGGTCAGCGGTGGCCGGTGGCCATTGTTCAGGGTCTTTGATCCTTATCAGAGAGCTACCTGAGGGTAGCATCAGGGCTACCTGGGGGTAGGATCCTGCCGCCAGTTCAGCCAGCTATCTTGATAGCTGCTCTGAAGGCCTGGGTGGTCTTTCACTACTTTGCGTGTCCCTGTGGAACTTAAAGGATCTGTCAATCATTTAGTAGAGTAAGTCTTTAGAAATTATCCAAAGGGATTTTTATCCTAACTCCCTCCCCCCCACCTCACCCCCAATCTTACCTTTTGCTCCTTTCTGTGCTAGGTAGTTTTATAGCTATCGGTCTCTTCTCTTACTCTATATTTCTTTGTCATAAATTTCTTTGTCAATAATGAAAACAACACATAACAGATTCTCTAGTATTTGTTAAGATGAGTATGTTCAGTTCACAGATTAATATGTTGACTTTTGTAGTAAACATTATTTTAATATCCATGCAGTAAGTCACGAATCAGTATAGGTTAATATATATATATATATATATATATATGTATGTATTAATATATCTTTTTAGAATCTACTTTTAAAAATGTAGATTTTAAAGATTTATTTTTATTTATGCATACAAGAACGGGGATCTGGAGGGAGAAAGGAAACATATTACATGAAGTCATATTTAGACTTTACATTATTTATATAATGTAAATTATTTCATATAAACATAGCTAAAACTTGGCAGTTTTCTGAAACTTCTAAATGGCATCTTAAATGACTTTTGTGACTTGTCAGTTTGGAAGTTATGTCCTTTGGAAATTGTTACAACAAAATCTCATTAATTCTGGAACATACAAATTATTGTTTGGTTTCCTCAAATCAACTAATACGTAGCTCGTAATTCATTGAATGAATTGCCCTGTCTTAGTATCCAACCAAGTATTCTTCTATTTACAGCCTCTAGACAAGCTTAGAAGAGTGATTCCTGCTCTAATAATATAGTGATAATTATAGACATAAATATCTGTGGCTAATATTGCATGTATGCAAAGATGGAGCTGTCAGCACTGTCACGGGTGATTAAAATCCTATAATCACATTCAGAGATTGACTTATACTGAAAAATTAAAGGACTTTCACTTCTTTCCAGCCTGAACTATGACGGTATGTGAAGCAATGAGACTTTATACAATATACTGATGATTTCTATATTTTCTGGAAAATGTTAGTGGTGATCTTAACAAGGAATGCCTCCTGGAAGCTGAAATGAATATTAATTTTATGGGTTAATCCATTTAAGTCATCTATTTTTCCCTAAACAATTGAATTTATAAGGACATATACTTTTAGTTTTATACCATGTTAGTATCTGATATTTACAAGTCAGTTCTTAACCAGTGACCCCAAATTATTTTTATTCCTACTAAAGCTAATTCCAAAATGAGGATTTTATTGTTGACCCTTTTTGATATCCTTTTCCAAGAATAATCTCTGTTTCTTCTCATTGATTTCTTCTCTTGGTTTTGGTCTCTGACATGTCATACAAGTTACCTTCTAATTTCTGGTAATTCATGGTTTTCTGCTTAAAGATTCACATAGGGCTGAGAAAAAGTAACAAAGTTCTAGGCTTGTAGGTAGTACAGATTGAATCTCAGGTTGAGTCAGGGGGCACCCCAGTAATATTCCTTTTAGAAAGACCATTAATATCCAGCACTCAAAATAAATATACAAGAATCAACTTTAACCTATAAATATCTGTATACAGAATAGTTTTCCACCCAACCCTGCTTAACATTCCCTAGCCAAAGACCCACTTTAATGTACCTAGTCTGTGGCAGTTTGCAGAAGAGATAAAGAGAGATCTGTGTTTAACTTTCTTTGAGTCTACAGTTCAAAGATATTTACCAAATAGATATAGAGTTGTAACATCATCACCATAATCCAACTGTGGAAACTTTTTGTCACTCTAATAATTTACCCCCATGCCCACTTTTTGTTTTCCATGATTACCACTGATTCACCTTCCTGTTTCCATGAATATGCCCTTACAGGTCATTGTAGGTGATTGAAAATCATGCAATGTGTAGTCTTTTGCATCTTGCTTCTTTCACTTGGCATCAGGTTTTGAGGTTCATCCACATTGTATTACATTTGAATAGTTCCTTGCTTTTGATTGCTGAATAAAATTCCATTATAAGAATATACCACATTTTGTTTATTCCCAACTGATGTTCAGATGAAGGTTTTGAGGTTTTGAGGTGTTATGAATAATGTTGTTATGCGCAATCATGTACAAGTTTTTGTGTGGTCAAATACTTTAATTTCTCTTTCAGTGATTGTCTGTTAAGTTTATGCTTAACTTTGAAGAAAATGCCAATTTCCCAGAAGGTCTGTACCATTTCACATCTCTGCCAGCAGTGGGTTCTAATTTTCCCACATTCTTGCCAAGTTTACTACTATATTTCCAAATATAGCTATTCCAGAGGTTACCTTGTGGTCTCTCACAATGGTTTTGATTTGCATTTCTCTATTAACTAATTATTG